GGGTGAGAGGAGCTGGGGGGGGGTGTCAGTCGATGCCTTCGCCCACTTGAGAAGCCCCACAGGCTACGGGGCTCCCTGGGAAGGAGGGGAGCCCCAACAAGGAGTGTGCTAGGTGGTGCGGGCCCCTCCCACCTGTGACCCCCTGACACATACTCCACTGCATTAGAGAAACACAGCCCCAGACTCCCCTGACCCCAACCTCTCTGTCATCGTTGGGAACTACAGCCCAGGCAGGTCCCCAGGGGGCACAGCAGCCTCCCAGCAAGCACCTCTGACACCTTGGAGGTGGCACCCGAAAGTGGCAGGAAGAGACACCTCCATTCCCCATGGACCCCTGGGCTGAACCACCTGGGAGAGATGTGGGGGGGGATCTTCTTACCACCCGGTTTCCCAGTCTCTGCCCCTCCCACAGGGCCTTTTCTCCGCCCCCCCACCTCCACCCCCACCCCCATCCCGCGTCAGACCGGAAGGCGCCTGCATTTGTAGTCCCTACCCGATTGCTCTGGCTCCGCCCCTGGCCTGGAGCCCCATCCCCCAGCTCAGGTGTGAGAGAGCAGGAGCCTCGGAGATCACCGGGCTTGGGTTTATTTCGTCATTCATAAATACAGTGGCTGTGTATCGGTCTGCGGCGCGTCAGGAAGCGCGAGGCGAACAGCAGTCTGCGCCTAATAGGGGATGCAGTTAGCGTGGGAATCACAGTCATTAAAAAAAGGGGCCAGAAAAGCACGGTATTTACAGGACTTGAAGAGAACGGACGACGGAGCAAGCCCCTCTGTCGTTCCTCAGGACCTCGGGCTTGACAAAATCATTTCGGATGGGAAATAGTGGGGGGGGGGGAGGGGGTCCGTGTGTCGTGAGCCCCCCAACCTGGGCCCAGTTCCTATGTCAGTACTCCTGGTGGGTGGGGACCCGGTCGGGGAAACTGCTTCAAAGTGGGGGTGGGGAGGCTGGGAGGGGGCTAAGGCTGCTTGGCAGCACAGGAGCTCCTGGGGGGCTTCCCTCCTACGTCTTGCTCATATCAGGTTGGGGAGACCTGAGAGTCCAGGGAGGAAGCAGGCCACCCCTTCAGGGCCTGTCTGTGCCTCGAGGGCAGCCACCAGCCAGAGGCTAGGTGTCCCTTCCCAGGCTCTGTGCCCCAGGTCTGAGTTACCTTCCCCATGCCTTCCCCCCAGCACCCCTGCCCACACCTCACAGAAGTCAGGGGAAGGGCCCCAGAAAGCAGAACCCCCTCCTCCCTGCAGTATGCATGGAAGAAAAGGACCCCTCAGAACAGTGACCTGGGGCACCTGCATTTCAGCCTTGGCTGGGAGCAGGTGCCTGTCTCCCTCTGTTTGGCAAACACTTCTCTAGGCTGGCTCTGGTGTGGCTCCTGGGATGCAGCAGCCCCCACTTCGGGCACCACTGCAATCCCTGGCCCATCTTCCTACAGTGTGCAAGGCCTGGGGGGCATAGGGTGGAAGGGGCCCAGATGGTCTCTGATGCTGAGGGGTGAGACACTGGCCTGTCCTGGGTCCTGCTGTCCAGGCCTGAGGGCCGCAGCTGGGCCTGGGAGGCTGAGCGGCCACCGCAGGGTCCATCTTGGGAGCAGGGCACTCCAGCCCAGTGTGATGGTGGGAGGTGGCCACAGACTGGGGGGGGGGTCCCTCCCCTGCCCCTTGGGCCTTTCTGGTGCTAGGAGGGGACTTGGTGGAGAGAACAGGGAAGAGGAGGACCTGACTTCTGGGGCTCAGCACCAAGTGGGCAGTGGAGGCAGACACGCCCTCCCCGCCTGGTGGCTTTCCTAAAGCCAGGTTCACAGGTGTCAGCCCAGCCAGGAGGCAGGAAGCCATGCCCCTCCCCGCCTCCCCGCCTGGTGGCTTTCCTAAAGCCAGGTTCACAGGCCTCAGCCCAGCCAGAAGGCAGGAAGCCATGCCCCTCCCCACACCTCCCTGACTGGTGGCTTTCCTAAAGCCAGGTTCACAGGCCTCAGCCCAGCCACGATGGGCTGGGCAGAGAGGGGCCTTCCAGAACAGCAGCTATCTGAAGAGCAAAGGAGCCCCTGGGCCTGCCCTGGCACGTGCGAGGTGGGGCACCCAGGGCTCCTACCACCGCAGGCGCTGGCTGCCGTAGAGGTGGAAAGGGGGTGAGCAGCGGAGCCTGGCGCCCTGCCCCCACAGAGCTGGCAAAAGCTGCTTCGGATGCTCAGGACCATGGGGCTGGGCTCCTGGCTGTAAGCCCGTCTCTGGAACCCGCAGGCTACCGGCCCTACCACCTCTTGGGAAAACACTGAAGCTGGGGGAGGAGAAGGGGATGTCCTTCCAGTCATCCCTCCCTTGGGGCTGGGGTGGGTGGGTCTTGGGGGCAGCACTTCCTGTTCATCTGCCCCAACCGAACCAGAGCAAACCAAACTAGTTGCCATTGAATTGATTCTGACTCCTGGGGACCCTGTGTGTGTCAGAGTAGAACTGTGCTCCATAAGGTTTTCAAGGCTGTGACCTTTTGGAAGCAGATCACCAGACCTTTCTTCCGAGGCACCTCTAGGGGTAGTTCGGACCATCAACCTTTGGGTTAGTCGTCGAATGCTTAACCATTTGTGCCACCCAGGGCTCCTTGCCCATCTGCCCCAGGCACCTAGAAACCCTAGAGCACCCCAAGACGTGCACCTCACCCGGCTGCTCTGAGAGACAGGGCCTCCAGGTGGCACCTCTCCAGGGACAGGCTCCTGGGGGTCTTCTCTGACACTGAGTGGCTGCTGCTGGTGGTCAGGTCTCCCAGCCCCTGGCCATACAGCTCGTGTGAAAACCCCAGGTCCCCCCTCTCTGAAAGAGTCAAAGCATGTTCTCTCTGCAGACCCCAAGTCCACCATCCCAGAGCAGGACAGAGCAGAGGCTTGGATGGGGGTCATTAGAAGAGGGTCTCTGAGGCCAGGAGGATAGTGCGCCTGTGCACATGGACCCAGCCTGCTCCTGCATGCCGCTGCCCCTGGTCAGCAGCCACAGTCCTGCCAAGAAATGCTCGACCTTAGGCCTTCCAGAATGGGCAACTGGCAGGGAGCGCAGGCAGGGACTGGGAGAGACCGATCCAGAGCCTGCTCCACCAGCCTCTCCTGTGCTCTGGTCTCCCTGGTCTGGGGTTCACCAATCATTCCTAGGGAGGAAGACGGGTGGGGCCAGGAGCTTGAAATCAGACCCCAAACTTTTTGAGTCCCAAAGAGCAGAGCCAACCTCCCTGAGTTTCCCTGCTCCAGCCAGCAAGGGCGTGGGGTGGGGGTTAAGGGTCAGCATGGCAGGGTTGGCCATTGCCGAGATGGTGGGGATGTGGAGTGCAGGGCAGGTGGGGAAGAGGGTGGGCAGAGGAGTGTGAGGTCAGGCGCAGCAGAACAGTACTGGAGACCTTGAAAGGCGGTTGGGGGAGGCCCTGCCCCCAAAGCTTAGGGCCCAGCAGAGGGCGGCACAGGAGGAGCCAGACCTGCTTTCTTTTTACAGTACTACTCTCCCCCTCCCCCAGCACCAGGTGGTCCCGGCAGAGAAAGACCACCCTGCCTACCCCGAGGGCCCGACCAGGTCCCCTGGGCCTTGCTTAGGGAGTGTGGGTGCAGGACCGCAGCTGGGAGGAAACGGGGGTTCTTCTTCGAGGATGAGCAGAGGCCACTGAGTGTCCTTCCCCCATTGGCTGGCTCGCCAGCTTCAAGTCCGTGCAGCCTCTTGGCTGTGTTGTGTCTTTTGGATGCAAACCACACTTTTCCCTTTGCTTCAAAACAGCTTAAGCAAGCGAGCGAACAGAGACTAGGAGGATAATGAAACTGTCCCAGCGGCCGGGGCGGGGGTTTTTTAGGATCGGTAGTCCTTTTTGCTGTAGGGTTTATTGCCCAAAATACTATCGATCTCGTGGATAATGGAAGACGACAATTTTGGAAGGACCTGTGTGCAAAGACAAGAGTGGATCAGGATCCCTCCCACAAGACTGGCCTGGCCTGCGGAGGAGGCTGGTGGCATTTTCCTGAATGTTCTGCTGGCCCTAGCCAAGCCTTACCTCATTACATCTGGCCTCCATCTGCAGCAGATGGAGGCCAGGCTGCTTTTGTGTTCCAGAAGGTTTAGGGCAGAGAAGGAGCGCACCCTGGTTTATAATCTCCCCACAAACTCCAGGGTGTTCCAGAACCTCCCAGAAAGGTGGCGGGGGGCATAAAATGCAGATTCCAGGGCCCGTATGCCTGATTTCCACACTCCCAAATTGCTCTTTCCAGTTTTCCCTGACTCACCTGGCAGCAATGCCACCCTTCAAGGACAAAAGTCTGGGATCTGTCTTTGATTCCGTTCTCTCTCACCCTCATATTCAGTTTCCCAATTCTACTGGCCCCACTTTCAAAAGTATCCAGGATCCAACACTTCTCCCATCTCCCAACCACCTATCTTTCCCCTGGGTGACTGCAGTCGCTTCCCTGTTTCTCCTTTGCTCCCCAAAGTCTCTCCTCCACTCAGTCGGAGAGGAAAACAAAAACAAAAAACCAAACCAGTCTCCACTGAGTCCACTCCGACTTATGGAGGCCCCATGTGTGTCAGAGTAGAACTGGGCTCCACGGGGTTTTCAACAGCTGGTTTTTCAGAACTAGATCGCCAAGCATTTCTTCTGAGGTACCTCTGGGTGAACTCGAACCTCCAACCTTTCAGTTAGCAGCCGAATGCACTGACTGTTAGCACCACCCAGGGACTCCAGAGAGAAGGATCCTTTTAAAACTGAAGTGGGATTATGTCCCTCCTCAGGTCACAAATCAGAATAAACACCAAAGTCCTCACAAGGCCCACAGGGCCCGTGCAGGGGGAGTGCGGGGGGAGTCTGTGCCCTTCCTCTGAGCTCACCTTCTCCCTCTCCCCTCTGCTCCAGCCCACGGGCCTCCTTGCTTTCCTTGGCTGTGCTGGGCTCGCTCTCACCTCGGCCTTTGCATCACTCTCCCTGCTGCCTGGAAACTTTTCTTCCTCAAGAATTCCCATGGCTCACTCCCTTTCCTCCTTCAAGCCTTTGTGCAAATGTCACTTTCTCAACAAACCTACCCTGACAAAGCCCCTTAAACTTGGGTCTGTGGCTCCACCTCCCTCCTGTCCCCAGCCCGGCATTCCTGTGTCCCCTTACCTTGCTCTGGTTCTTTTTCTTCTCCCCATAGTGCTTATCAGGTCTAACACATAAAATAATTTACTTATTTCTTACATTTAGTGTTTACTCTCGTTCCCGCTAAAAATGAGCTCGTCAAGAGCAGGGATGGGCTCATGATGTATCCCAGACACCTAGACCAGTGCTTGGCACACGGTAGGTGCTCAGTGAGAGTGGCTGGACAGAGAGGGACAGGGACCCTGAGCCCTGCCCAGCAGGTCCCGCGCTCACCTGTATTGCTCCGATGTTCTCCATCAGCTGGTCTGCACTGGAAGCCCCCAGGAGCACGGAGCTGACCCCCTCATTCCTCAGGCACCAGGCTGGGGGCATCAAGGTTGCAGGTGAGGGGGACACACCTACTGCAGGAGTTGTCTCTGGTTTTGCCCCCTCAAACTCTCCACTACAGAAATCCAGCCTCTTTGTCTGGGGGCCAAGGGTGCCCAGAGTGAGAGCCTGGCAAGCCCAGTGCTCAGCGCCTACACCCTCAGCAGGGCTGGGTAGGGGCTCTGTCCAAGGGGAGGCTGGAGAGGGTGCTGAGCTTTTGGTATTGGGGGATCCCTGGCACTGACTGCCTCCTGGTGGAGAGGTAGCTCAAGTGCTCAGGGACCCCGTCCTCTCCCCATTAATGTGAGAGGCCCATTACCCATAGTTGGCTGATGGAAGGGTGACGAAGGCACTTGGGGACCCCCCATCTCCCCAGGGACACAAGCTCCAACCTTACACCCAGGGCCCTGTTACCCATGGCTGGCTGATGGAGGGGTGGCCCAGGCCCTCAGGGACCTCTACCATCTCCACAGGGACCCTGGCCCCAACCTTATACACGGCTGATGCAGGGATGGCTTAGGTACTTGGGGACTCTCCACTATCTCCCCAGGGACACTGGCCCTGACCTTGTATCCAAGGCCCATATCTATGGCTAGCTGGGGGACATTGTTTAGGACCCCCACCTTCTCCCGTCTGACCCCAGCCTGTTACCTATGGCCAGCTGAGGGAGGGTGCAGCCCAGGCGCTCAGCAATGGCCTGCAGCTCCTTCAGCTTGGCCTGTTGGCGCCGGCCCTCCTCACTCAGAATCTTGTCCTTCAGCCACTGGTAGCCCTGAGGGGGTGGAGCCCACAGGCGAGGAAAGGTTACCTGGACCTCTATATGCATTTTCCTTTCAGATCCTTCTTCCCAAACAGCATCTCTCACCCCACTCGAAGCCAGGGCAGCATCCCTCCCCCTCCCCCCAGGCCTAACCTTACCTGTGGGCCAGACCCAGGTGGTAGAAAGAATGGGGGACCTGCTGCACTCTGAAGCCTATGGTCTGTGAGGGCCTGGGGCTGGACCTCAGCTGGGACAAGGCGGTGGACAAGGCAGTGGAGGCGCTGACTTCCCTTCTCCTCAGAAGCTGGGGCCGTGGGAGGTGTGCTGCCACCTTTGGCTCAGGGAATTGGCCTGGGCTGGGGGTTTCAGGAACCCTCCCCCAGAATCCAGTCCTCCCAAGGGGTTTCCTGACCTTTCTGTGGGTTGGGGAGGGGGGTGTGGGCAAGCCAGGCCATCTTGACCTTGAACCTGGGGACAGGGTTCCAGTGCCGAGTCTAACCGGGCCTAAGCAGGCCCTACTCTGCTTGTCTTTCATCCTTCAAAACCTGTAGTCTGGGGACCCTCCTAGTCCCCATTCCAGAGGTGCGTGTGGGGGAGGTCTTGTCCCAGGAGGTCACCTCTAAGTGGCCGTGCAGCCTTCAGCACTGAACTCAACTCCAGAGCCCTTGGTGATGGTATAGAGAGTGGGGGGGGGGGGTGCATGGAAGAGGGGGCATCCCCAATGGCACATGGACCTAGCTCAGGCTGTGAATGTTGGCCCACAGAGGGGAACCAAGGCAGGTAAGGGTAAGGGGCCTCCTCACCCGGGGCATGTCCCACAGGGCAGGTGGCCCTTCTAGACCTGGGGTCAGGCAAGAAGGTGCTCCATGCTTCCATCATATGGGACCTGAGCCCGGCCGCTGTAGCCCAGGGAAGCCCTGCCTAGCACCCAGCCCACCTCCCAAAGACCTCACCTAAGTGCCAGCCCTGCCTGTTCCTACCCCACCCTGGATCCACTCCCTCACCTTCAAGGAGGCTCTTGAGTAGGGTGGGATGCCACTGTCGTACTTTCCAGAAACGATGCCACAGGCCAGAGGGGACCAGGTCATGGCACCTACTCCTAGGAGGGAAAGCAGGCAAGGTCAAGCCTGGGCCCTCTTCCCGGCCTAGCAGTGAGGGTCCTGGGGATAGCCTGGGCCTGGGGCCCCTGTTGCAGGGAGAGGGGATTCCAGGGGCACACCTATCTTGTGGAACAGCTCCGGCAGCTGTACCTCCACCTTCTCACGCTGGAACATGTGGTACTCAGCCTGCTCACAGATGGGCGGGATCAGGTTGAACTGCCGGGCCACCGAGTAGGCCTCCTGTAGGGGCAAAAAGCCACATGATCATCCTGCTGGTCAGCCAGCTGGTCAGTGACCTGGGGCTGGCCTGGGGGGATGGGAGGGAGTAGGTGGGATGGCTGGGGGCAGCAGAAGGCACAAAGGCATTTCCAGGAAATAGCTGGCCCAGCTGCCCCTATCCCTTGCCCCGGCCCCAAAGTGCTCACAGCCTCCCTGGGACAAAGGGGTGGGTTGTGGGACCCCAAGGCTGGAAGAGATTAGGGGAAAGTACAGTGTAGTAGTGAGACCTGGGTTCTGGCACTTACTGGCCCAGTGGCCTCAGGCAAGGGGCTTAGCCCTCCATGCCTCAGGTTCTCCATCTGTCATGTGGGCCAAACAACCCAATAGTGTTCACAGCCCTCACAACAAACAGGGCCTGGCCCATGGTGGGTTCTCGAAACCTGCAGGTTCTGCTGTTACTGTTTTGACCCTGACTGTTACCCTAGGGCCCTGGGCTGGGATGCCAGCAGTGGCAGAAAACACGAGGTCAGGAGGGAGAGGGCCAGCATCAGCCCATTTCCAGGACTTGTAGCTCAAGGCTCCTGGGGGAAGCCCTGCACAATGTCCTGAGATGCCCTATCTATCCCCTCTAGTCTGAGACTCAGTGTTCCCATCTGTAAAATGGAGAGAAGGATACTGACAGCGGGCGAGCTCATGTGTATGACTGCAGAGCTCTGTGCTGGCTGGGGCAGCCTCAGGAAAATGCCAGACACTCATTAATTCCACAAAGGTCAAAGGCTGAGGAATTTCAGGGCTTTTATAGTTGCATTTAACTTGAAATGAAAAGCCTGTTTAATTTCTTTGGTGAAGCAGAAAGCTGGGCTCACTAGAGGAGAAACCCCCTCTTCCCAGGGACAACTTGCTCTGGGAGTTCTGGGATGTGGGGTCAGCCTTCTCCGTGCCCACCCCCTCCCCCGCCCCCAAGGATGGACAGCAGCTTCTCCTCTTCCGATCTCTTCCCTCCACACCTCCTCCCTCAGGCGCCTGCCCCTGAGAAGAACAGGGGCGGGGGGCGGGGGAGGAAGTGGGGAGGACACCCTGCTGACCCTTCCCAGCAAAGCCCAGAAATAGCAAGAAATGCCTGCCGTGCTCAGCCTCTGCTGCCTCCCATGGAGGGAAATGACTATTTAGTGGGATATTTTCCTGGAAATTGAGTGAGGTGGAAACATCAGGGATTATGGGATGGAAGACCAAGGTCCTAACAGTGGGTCATGCTTCACGTCAGCACAGTCTCTGAGCTGCACAGTAACCTTTGGCATATAACCATGTTACTTAACCTCCCTGTGCCTCAATTTCCACATCTGAAAAATGGGACGACAGCTGCATTCACCTCATCGGGATTAAGTGGGAGTTAGTCTGCACAAAGCCCTCACCTCTCACAGCACCTGGAGCACCCAGAGCACACTGAGGGACTAACACTGGTATCACCACTGAGTGCCTGCTATGCTCCAGCACCTCTGCTCTGTTGGATAATCTTTGAAACAACCCCATGGTGTGTGTGTGTAGGGTGTGGGGGTGGGTTAGTGTTCCTAGCAGTCTCGTTCTGCAGGTGGGGAAACTGAGGGGATCATCCAAGGCCACACAGTGCGGGGATCCAAGTGGAGGCTGCTGTGACTGCAAAGCCTGCGGCTATAACGCCCCCGCCCCAATGCTCTCCCTCCCCTTGGTACCAGTTATGAGATAGCTGTGAGCAAAAGCACTTCACCTGTGATGTTAGGCCAGGAGCCTGTGCCCCAGAACCACCTGTCCCAGAACCACCCTGTCCCGAGCGGTCACTGTACCATGATCTCCATGGAGCTCCAACGTGACGTGCCCCAGTACATGGCCATCCCCTGGTTGATGACGTGGGTCATGGCGCGCACGGTCTCTGTCACGAAAGAAGGGGAGATCGCAGGTGGGAGGGGGCCGGGCAGGAGGGGCCCAGCCTGGGGACAGTCTGCACGCTACAGGCGGGCACCAGGAAGGGAGAGGTTGCAATTACATCTTGCAAGCAGTGTACGCCCTGGCTCCCAAGTTGGGTGTGTGTGTGTATGGGTGGGGGAGCTCTCCAGGATGGAAGAAAGGAGCCAACAGCAAACCAAGAAGCTGGTCTTGAGAACAGTTTCCCCAAATCATTTCAGGCTGTATGCAATCTTGGAAAAATGAGTTATGGATGGATGGACTGTGACTTTTCTAGAGCAGATTAGAGGAGCGAGGGGAAGGTGAGATCAAAGAATGTGATTCTAGACTCTCAATGCCCCCATTGAGAATCTCTGGTCTGGGGAAGAAATCAGGGGCCACGATCATTTGGGAAGAACTTAATAAATATATTAAGTTACAATCAGATTGACCAAATGCATCAGGAAGTAAACACATTTTTTGTCTGTTTCTACTCTCTGAATTCTCAATGGAATCCAGAGAACGGAACAGAGTGGTCACAGTGGCATCTGAAGGGGGACACAGGGCAGGGTGTGGGCCCCAGGTGCTCTCAGGGGGTGGAGGCTGCAGGGTGGAGCCCCAGTCATGTCTAGGAGGGCCAGCTCCTGGCTGGGAAACCAGAGCAGACCGGGAAAGCCACGCTCTGCCCACACCCAGGTTCTCAAACGAGCCCGGCGCAAGGCCAGATTCGCTCCCTTACAGGGGATGGCGGTGGCTTCTGTTCCCAGGGTGGAGGGTTCTGGGTACTTCTCCTGAGAAGAGCCAAGTTATGGAGTGGGGCGACCTGAACACTGAACAGCAGAGGGTCCCAGGTCCTAAAGACTCCGTCACTGAAACGCCACACCATCCTTTTAAATGAGAGAGGAGGGACCCCCTCCCAATTACACAATAGATTCATCCTAGTATTCAAAAAAGTTTTTGAGAAACAAAAACATGCCAATGGTAGCTCCCCCCCTCAGCTGTTTTTGCCTTGTGGGGATGTTGTGGTCTTTTAAACAGAACTTGGCCTCGAAGTTTGGCATTTCAAACGTTTCTCAGCTGTGCGGGGTGTGGGGCCACCCCATAGAATGTCTCACAGGTACAATACAGTGCTTGCAAGGGTGGCTGCCAAGTGCAGTGTGGAAAGTAAAGTTGGAGGACAAGTGTTTCTAAAAACAAAGGAATAACATTGGTCCTTTAAAAATCCCCATCTCTCCCCACGTGACTTGCTCCTGATCTGCCGCGGAGATGGGCTGAGGTCTCTGAAAATGGGGGTGGGGGGCGAGAGGAGAAGAAAGAAGGAAGGAAGGAGAATGCTGGGTTTGTTCTGGGCACCTTCCCTTCTCTGTTTTGGGGTGTGTCTTCCCACTCATCCTGGGTCTCCAGGAGTTCCTCTGGCCAAGGCCCACATTTTCAAGTGGTTACTAGGATATAGGTATGTCAATGCACTTTGTAAAATTATAAGGTGCTACATTCTTACTACTATTGGAGTCCCTGGGTAGTGTGCAAACAGTTTACGCACCGGATTGCTAACAGAAATGTTGGAGGGTCGAGTCTACCCAAAGGCACCTCAGAAGAAAGGCCTGGCAATCTACTTCTGAAAAACCTGCCATCTAAAACCATATGGAACACAGTTCTGCTCTGGCGCACATGAGGTCACTATTGAGTTGGAACAGCCTGCATGACAACTGTTTTCTTTTTTATTTTTGGTATACTATTATTATTATTAGCAGCAGCAGTAGTTGTTGTTAGTAGCCCACTAACAACAAAAAGTGGCCAAGGTCCACTTTTTCTGTGGGCCCTGCCCTAGGGAGGAGCCAAGGGCATCCCAAGGTTGCTGGGCTTCTTGGGAGGTGGTCTCAGGAGGCTCACCCAAGACCTCCCAAAATCACCCCTCGGCTCCCACACCTGCAGGCCAAGCCCTGCCCTCTCCTTCCTTCCAAGTCAGGGACGGGGCTCCCGGGAATCCCAGGGAGGAACGCTGGGAGGGAAGGCTGGCCCTCCCTGGGACCACCACCAGGCTGCCTGCCCTCCCTGCTGATGCCGCTAGACTTGAGGGAGGATAACAGTGCCTAGGAGAGGTCTAGGAGAACCTGGAGGGCCCCCGGGAGACTTCTGGCCACATCCAAACTCTGCACCTGCTCCTGCGTGGCTGCCCTTGTTCAGTTTTTTAGAAACACTCTTGGGGCACCTGTGACCATGCAGGGGACTTCCCAGTTCCTTTCAGCCAAGGCAGTACGTCCACATGCCAGCGAGTGGGCAGCCAGGAAAGCCCGTCCACCAGCCTCACTCCCTCGCTCTCACCGCTTTCTCTGATTACAGGGACCCGAGGAGTCACCCTGCACGATGCACTGAGATGCCCTTCCCATGCAGGGTGGGGACAGAGCCAGCCGGGAGCCTGGAAGGGCAAGGCCACCGGGGCAGCGGCCTACACTCAACCCCCAACTGCTCGGGGGTGGGGGCAGGGGTGTCGGGTGCCAAGGGTCCCAGGCATCAGCAGGCTGGACACAGTGCCTACTCACGGGAGCCTGGGTTCTCTGCACATGTGCCCAGGGTGATGTCAGTGGCCCCAGAAATGGACAATGGGGGCAATTGTCCTTCACCTCAATATTTAATGCTATTGAACAGAAGCAGGAGGACCAAATCATTCCAGCTGCTGCCAAATGCTGCGGCCTCTCCTGCTGCATTACAAATGATACACGGAGGGGGTCAGGAGGCGGTGCCAGGTGCCCAGCTGGCCAGCATGCACCCTTCCATCAGTGGAACACACCACATTCCCAGGGAGACCAGATCCCTGTGCCAGGAGGATGCCTGCCCTTGGTATGGGGTCCTGGGGGCCCTGGAGTTTAGGAGGGCAGAGGGGCCAAGTTCAGCCAGAGCCTGCCCCTGTGTCGCAGAGTTTGGCCAGCTCACGTATGCATGCACTCTTAAGGAGAAAAAATGATTCCATTTTGATGGAGCGGTCTGGTTGCATGGCAAGGGCTGAGCAGGTGGCCCAGCCTGAGGAGGGGACATGAGTGGCCACACAGGCGCTGTGCCCACTGAGGAGCCAGTGTGCTGTGGATGGGGGTGGGGGGAGCTCACAAAACATGAATATGGAAAAGGCACGATGTGTTGGGGCCTGCCTGTTCTGGGGTCCCCCACGTGTTCCCCCCTTGTGGGGTCCTGATCTGCCCTGGCCCTCCCCCTGGTGCTCTCTATGCCCAAAGTTTCTGGCGCTGATCACGGCATCCCCAAATCAAGAGGCCCGGCGGACAGGCCGGCCACCCGCGAGGTTAGCTACCCGAGAGGTCATTGGCAATGCAAGCAGGCTCAGGGTGACGACATGCACAGAAAGGAAACAAGGAATGAAATGACCGCATGGACCGGGTGGGGGAGACACGGATGCCAGCACGCTTTGCTTTTCCTTTCACTTGCAAGATGTCCTCATGGGGCCCTTTTATCTCCCTTATGCATTTTATGGAGAAGTTTGTCATCGGGGGACAGAGAGTTGTGTAAATAAACACACTGTCTCATAAAATGCAGCTCGGACACGGGAGTCAATAGTCGGGCTGTGGGCACTGTGTACCTTCTATGATGAATGTCCTGGACTTGGAGGAACTAAATGGGTCCCCTGGTGATAAAAGAAAGATTTAAAGAGACCAGAGTTTATAGCTGTGGGAGCGTGGGATGACAAAGGGCACGGGGAGGGAGGCACAAATCACTTCTCACAGAATATTCTTTTTGTTACCGAAAAAAAAAAAAAAATGCACACACATACACACACACACGCAGGTATATAGATAAAAAAAAAAATGAAGAAAAAAATAACTTCAACACAACTTAATTTTCCAAGTCCCTGGAGCAGCAAAGCACAAATGAGAAAATGCCGGTAGCTGGAAGTTGGGGGAGATGGTAGGGGCCAAGGATGCAGGAGTCAAAAGAATATGTAAATGCCAAAAAAAATCAAAACCACTTTTCAAAGCGCAGAACATTGTTTTCTCTTCTAAGTAATAATTTACCCCCTAGAGCAAAGAACCCCTGGAACCTCCCAGCGAATGTGATTGAAAGGATGCAACAGTGGCAAAGAGGCATCCCATTTTGACTTCTCGTTGTTATTTTGACCTCAGTTAGCTACAAATTATTAACAGCTGAGAGGAGAGACCATTCCACACAGTTCTGAACACAGGAGGGAGAATGGAGCACCCCAGGGGCAGGTCAGGTGTGCACCCAGAGTGAGGACAAGGATGTCCACTTGGCCTGGGGGTGCCAGGGTGCACACAGTGGGGTACTTAGAGGCTTGCTCAGGCCCTCGCTTGCCTCCTCCCACCACCCAGCCCGGCCTCTCTTCTTGCCGGCCTGGGCACCTGATTTTAAGACTCATGCCCAGCGGTGCCTGCACTGGCGGGCACCAGAGCCTCAGGCCCAGAACCTTCCGTCAGCCCAGCTCCATCCTACAGCGACTGTGCCAGGCCCTGGAGCTTCCCGAGAGCACCTACCTTCCATGGGTGTGTTGGGGTCTGGGCGGTTGGCAAACACCACGTCCACATACTCCAGCTGCAGCCGCTCCAGGGAGGCTTTCAGACCTGGGGAGGGAGGTGTGTGTGTGCGTGGGGGTATCACCACCACTAAACATCTGGGATGCACCAGCACCCGCTGCAGGGAGCCATGTAGGAGAGGAGAGAGGCCAGGCACTTAGGAGCTGTCTGGATGTGAAATGCCACAACCAGAGTGGGTGCACTGCAGGGGCCCTGAGCCAAGGGCTGTGGTGGGGCACATGGCAGAGAGGGCTCTGGGCAGGGCCCTGAGAACAGCAGCCTGTACTCCACAGGCAGGCAGGAAACTCCCCCAGCAACCAGGTCACAGTCCCCTCCAACTTACTGCTAGCAGGTCCACAATGCTCCCCCCTTTCCAAATGAACAAAGGGAAAGAAACAAAGCTGGAAACGCAACAAGTGGGCCTGAGTTTAAGAGTCGTTTCAGAGTCGTGCAGCCCTGGATGGTGGTGCGATAGTGGGTGATGCTTATATCTCTGGAGAGAGGGCCATGCCCAGGACAGAAACCTTCCAGCCACCCTCTCCTCAGAAATGGTCACCCACAGAGTCCAAACGGGGTGGGAGTCATGCCCCTTCTGAAGAATTGTGGGGGAGGGGGGTGACCACAGGCCAGAAATCCGTGACTGGGTGAAGTGGGATGCCCCAAGAATGCACACCCTCCCATGGGGCATCTTCTTGGCTCCCCAGTGGCCCACGTTGTAACGGGGAGAGCTACGTTATCACAGATGGAGTGAGCGCTACCTCTGTCATCTCTCCTGTAAAGACCAGCAATGTCCAAGATGGACAAATCATGAACTAGTGTTTAGGCAGACAGAAACAGCTCAGAACAAACCTCTGATAGTTACAAGTGACGGATCTGGGGGACATGAAAGGGGCAGGGGCAGGACAGCAAGCCCTCCTAATTATGTGATTTTTTTTTTTTTAAATGGAGTAATTAGCTTGATAAAAATGAAAATCAATAGAAAAGGCACAAAGATGACTGAAATATAGAAGTGCCATATTCCAGCCGGTCTCTCTCTCGATGCTCCTGAGTGCAGAGCCCTGCGCTCTGTGCCAGAGAAGCCCTGGGGGTTCTTGCTATCCCCATTTTACAGATGCTTCGACAGAGGCTTGGGGAAGTGATGTCCCTTGCTCAAGGTCACTCAGCCAGCCTGGTCGAGCCTGGATTCACACCAGGCCTGTCTGTGTCCAGACTCACTGGAGACAACTGCCCTGTGGAGGGTGACACAGGCCCTGCCCACCGCGTTCCTGCCCCTCCCATAATACTCTCGCCCCACCCATCCCACTCCTACCCTTGCACATCACACCCCCACCCCTCCCTCATTCCAGGAATAGTCCTGCCCCAGGGAAGGAGAGGGTGGGCCTGGGTATCAGGTACATCCAGGGCTTGGCTCCTTCCACTATGTAACTGGAGCCCCTGGGTGGCTCAAACGATTAAGCATTTGACTACTGGCGGAAAGGTTGGCGGTTCAAACCCACCCAGAGGCACCTCAAAAGACAGGCCTGGCAATCTACTTCTAAAAGGCCATGGCCTCGAAAACCCTATGGAGTGAGCAGTTCTACTCTGCACAGATGGGGTCTCCATGAGTCAGAATGACTGGAGGGCAACTAACAACAACAACAAAGCTGTGTAACTGGGGCCCACTCTAACACACCCACGGGCAGTGTAACTGGGGCCCACTCTGACACACCCATGGGCAGTGTAACTGGGGCCCACTCTGACACACCCACAGGCAGGTCCCCAGGGCTCAGGAGGCCACGTGCTGCCAGCTCCTCCTCACCTTCAATGATGTGTTTCCTGGACAGGCCTCGCTCTGTCTCCGCCCTGAAAAACAGGCCATTTTCAAAATGTGTATGATGAAATGTTAGGCAAACAGGGGGTCAGCACCTGGTACATGCAGCCGATCCCACTTTGGGGTACACAGGTGGGTGCCTGGCAGGAAGGTGGGCCCTGCTGCCAGCCTGTCCAAAGGTAAAATGGGGCAGAGTGGGGTGACGACTTTTGGTTTTCAATTTGACCCTTTGCTTGGCTTGCATTTTTTTAAAAAATAAGAATGAATTATATGTATAATTTCTAAAAAAGAGTAGATGTCCTCTGAACTCAGCTCTGTCCAGGCCCGGAGTGAAGCCAGAGCCAGACCCCACAGCCTGGCAGGGGAATCTGGAGTGGTTTGAACAGCTACCCCGCTGTTCTGTGTTTTCCAGAATTTTTATAATCTTATCTTTGTAATCAGAAATAAGTAAAAGTAAAAATTGAACAATGTTAGAGTAAAAGACAAAACCCAAACTAAAGCTGCTTTCCTGGACTTGAGGCAGCATCTGCAGTGCACGCAGCAGCGAGAATCCCCCTCCTTAACAGGGCTGCCAATGCCAGCCCCCTCCGCTGTTGTCAGGCACCTGTTCTTCTGGAGGCTCCCAGTCATCTCCCTTCCACCACCCTCAGGTATCAGGGGTCTCGGCAGAAACGGGTGCGGCTCCCACCCCTTCCCGCCACCTGCTGGCCCCGTGCTGCACCTACTTTCCACCCCAGAAGATTTTGGTGGTGATGACAAGGCTGGATCGTCTGTAGAACAGAAGAGAAGGGGGGATGTTACTGGGTCAGGCCCCTCTGAGGTCTGCATTCACAGATCATTCTCATGCAGGGCTCCCAGAAACCCTTCTGTTGGGGGCTGGGGGTGGGGAGGTGTGTGGGGCTCCCCATGGAGCAAGGACAGAGGGCAGGAGGCCCTGAGGGAATACAAGGCCACCTGGGTTTGTCAGGGGACAAGGAAGGAAGGGATTCAGGTAAAGAGGGCGGAGCAGGGAGCAAAGACCCGAGAAGGTCAAGTTCAGGGTTGGTGGACAGACAGAGGGGCTCAGTGGGGATCTGGCAGGAACTGAAGAAGCAGGGGCCCAAGCCAGCTGGGTCTTACCTACAGGCCATAATGGGTATTTAAGAAGTCTTGGTGTGAGACGGCCTCGTGGGGAGAGGGCTGGTAGGGGCAGGGCATGGGGGTGAGGAGAGCTGGGTGATGTTGCCGGGATTTGGGGTTTGGGGGACAGAGGCTGAGAAATCCGAGGAAGGGGGTGAATTTCGTTTGTCTGTCTTTAAATCCTCTGGAGGCAAATGCTGACAATGGTGACTTCGTCCTCAGGGTGTGTGTGGAGATGATGATGCAGCTGAGATTTCACAGGGACTCAGGGTCAGCCAGCCCCTCCAGGCCACATCTGACATGACCTCCTCCCAACAGAGGATGTTACTGGGGTAACAATGGCCTCTCTGACCTCTCCTGTGGAAGGCGTGACTTCATGTTTATCTCTCTTCGAAGTCACCTAAGACATACTCAGCACGTTTGCTAATATGAGCAATGTCCTTTAATTACAGAGAGCAGAGGAATTTATTTTGGGATCAATTACAGCCAAGAGGCAATGGCTTGGGTGGGGCAGGAGAGGGCAAGCCACTGGGGCTCGGAGGCTGCCTGGCCACTGGGGGCTGGGCCTCTAAAGGGCACCTGAGAGGGCAGGGAGGCGGGAGAGCCCGGCTTTGCAATTACTGTGGATATTCCTGAAAATAAAGGCTCATGGACCACAGGGCTTGTCTGCACTTGAGTTAGGCTGTGGCTGCGGGCTCAGAGGTGATGCTCAGCCCGGATGGGAGTGAGCTGCGTCTACCCCGAGGGTCGTCAGATGAATGGGGCTCCTGCCCTGCTGCCTGTGGGCTCACTGCCTCTCCGTGGGCCAGCCCTGAGGGACCTGGCCAGAGGCCATGGTGATGACAAGGCCCGCCTTGGTCTGAGTGCTCTACAGACCCGAGGCCAGTTAATAACCCCCAGACAGCCCTGCCAGGGAGGTCTGACCGTCCTCGCTCACAGAAGAGGACTGGAGGTCTCGAGAGGTGGAGACACTCATTCACGTACATCCAGGGAAGGTCCACCGGCTCCAAGCTGCTCTTGGACCCCTACCCTTCCTGGCATCCATGTTTCTCTGATCCTAAGCCCTCCAGCTGAAGAGGGGGAAGGGGTTCCCCCAGGTCCTCGGCAACGGCACAGCTTTGTCTCATGGGCTGTTCTGGAAGTTATTACTCTGTTCCGCCTCCCCCACCCCCGGACCCTCATGCTGTGGACCCATGGGGATGAGCTGGGACAAGGGCAGAGGGGCACAAGTTAGGGAGGGATGGACTGCTGGTTCAGGCAACACAGTCAGTGTCACATGACCTCTCCCAAGCAAAGTGGCCTCCTCATCTTGGAGAACTGAAATGTAAACCCCACTTGGTGACTCAGCGCACAGGGAGAGAAGGGGGGCTTCCCCACTCACCATGTCCCTGGCACCCTCGCTCTCTGTGGAGGCTACCCAGCAGCATGCATGCCCACTTCCCCTGGAGGAAGCCCTGGGCTACCTCCATTCTAGAACATTCTCCCCTTCCCAAGAAAAATTCTGGAATTTCCAGGCCTCAGCAAGATGGGTTGGCTGCATAGGAGGCTGATGGGTTAATAAACAGGAAAGAGCTACCCCCTAAACTTCCATTCTTCCCACAGCAAAGTAACTACAGCTAACACCCACCCCTCCCCAGTCTTCTGGAAGCTCTTCCCTGTGTGTGACCATAGCGACCGACCCGCACAGTAATTACCTCCAGCCCTTCTTCTTAATAATGTTTCCTAAGACCACTTCAGCCCTGCAGAACAAAAGAGACACAGGGATTTCATCAACATTAAGAAAATCAAACCCAGCTCCACCATGACAATCGGCCACTCGGTCCCCCTCTGTGAAAATGCCGCTGGGCAGAGAGCAGCTGTGAAGAATCCACCCTGGTTCCAGCAGCAAATTCCGGAGAGAGGAGAGGCGGCAGGCTAGCTGGAGCCCAGGCTGAGAGCCTGCGTGCCATTGTCCCTACTAAGGTGGCTGTGGGCATGTGTCCCCTGCAGGCACCGGTCTGAGCAGCCTTGGCTCCAGGGCTAGCAGAGAAGGCAGGGCAGCTGCAGGAACCGAAGTCTTGCTGGGAAAGGCCAGTGACCATTTCCCTGGCTGGCTGGAATTCACTGGGGGAAATGCTTGGCAGTCCGTTATGGGTGAAATTTCCAGACAAGTATATCTTTTAAAAGGTAAATTATTCATCAAGTGGCACCTTCTGTTTTCAGAGACAATCAACACCTATTCAGGGCCAGGGGCTGAATTTCCAGCAGAACATGTGTGTGTGTGTATGTGTGTGTGTGTGCATCTGCATACATGCATGCGTGTATGTGTGCATGTGCATCCTGCCTGTTACTTGCTTTTGCACAATAGGCAGACAGATACCACGCCAACCACTGTCTGCTCTGCTTGGCGTCACTCCGGGTCCCCAGCCAAACTTGGGCCACCAGGGGTCACAGGCAGGCTGTGCCAGCCTCACTTGCCACTGCAGAGCTGGGTTAACTTTTAAAAACTTCGTGCTCAAAGCAAAATGTTTCTGAGCAAAAACAATAGACGGAGAATGATCCATAACCAGACCACATTCCGATGATAACAGTGCCTGAATCATCCACTCAAAAATAATGGGCTCTCATTTGCAAGCTGTTTCGCATACATTCGGCACACTCCTGATGGATGGGCAAGATGCAAAGAAAATCCATCAGCCCTGGCCTCTCCTTTTTGTTTGTCGGTCCTGATTTGTGGACCAAGGACCAGGAAAGGAGGAAGAGAAGAATCTAGCAGTACCCCTGGAGCTACAGAAGCATAGACTTGGAGTTGGCCAAAACCTGCTGCTCATGCCTGTGAACTTGTGTAGCTGGGCGCAGAAATCCTGCCACCTTTGGGAAATGCCCCAAATTAGGGTCAGGAGAAGAAACACGGCCCCAGGAACACACACGCTGGCCACTCTGGATGGCAACAGGGACAGCTGCTGGCCGTCCCTATCTGAGTGGCTTTTCTTGCCTGGTCCCCATTGCACTGTGACCAGCTTCCTGCTAGGGTGGCTGCTGGTGCTGATGCATTAATGGGGTACACCGCGAAGCAGCTGCAGTGGCCGGTGGAGGAGTGGAGCGGCAGGATGAGGGCAGCAACCCCAAGAAGCTGCTCCCCATGTCCTTGGCTTCCTGAGAGGTCACAAGGGTGCCCAGGGCCCTGTGTATCCAGTTAATCAGGGGGATTTGAAGACATGGACACAGAGCAGAATGCAGCTGCCGGGATGGGGCTGGGCTATCTGGAGCTGGAGGAAGAGGTTTCCTGGAGCTGTCCCTGCTCTAGTGGGCAGCAGAACCAAGGCAGGAGCAGGGCCTGGAAGAGGCTGGGGTGCTCGGGCTGTGGGCTGCCTGGGGTACTCAGGCTGTGGGCTGCCTGGGGTGCTTGGGCTGTGGGCTGCCTCTGGGTGGCCTCTGCACTGGACTTTCAGACCTGTGACCCTTCAGCTTCGCCCATGTGTCTGTCTGGAAAGCATTCCACTTTGATGGGAAGCTGCTGCCTGTTGGAGGGGTTGGAGGGGCTGTGGCATCAGAAGGGCAGAGAGCTGCTGATGTGGGCTAGAAGAGATTTGGGAGCCTAACACAGGCCCCAGGGCTGTCCACTCCCCAGACCTCAGTCAGGCGTTGAGCAGAGGCTCCGCTGGGTCCCTGATGCCCTGGGCTCTGGGCCCCTGCAGGTTGGGCAGGTGCTGGCCCTGCGGCCATGGTGCAGCAGGCCAGGGCTGCAGCCAACCCAGCTGCCAGGAACTTGGCTCAGCCCAGGCCAGAGGGGGCCCAAGGGATGGTGAGCAGAGAGCCAAAAATGATTTCACAAACAAAAGCTGACTTTTGGAAACCCGAGGCAGGAGAGTGGATAATGTGATTACAGCCAGTCTTGAAAATCGAAGCCAGCGGGCCTGGCTGAAGAGGGCTGAGTTTTTACATAATTGGGCGTGACGGCTAGCTGCCAAGCCTGGAAGCACCTCCCACAGCAATGTGGGGGTGGGGAAGACACAGCCCCTGCTCTGAGGAATTCTGTGTCCCCAACATCCCTAGTGGCACCATTAAGATGTGAGCATCTCAGGCATGTGGTGCTGGCCACAGGTCACTGTGTGTCAGGAGAGCCTGGGAGACAGCTTCATTATACTCTTGCCCAGCATGGTATTGTGCTTGGACACACAGGGAGTTCAGCCAGTGGCCAATGTCCAAGTGTCCCTGTGGAAACAATGCCTCCCCGAAGCCACTTAGAGCTTCAAAGAGGAGGCAGAGGGGAAGCATGTTTGTGAGTATCCTCGGCACAGAGTATGGAAACCCCAGGAGCCCAGGCCTCTGAGGGGGTACTGCCTCGAGGGCAGCTGAGCCCTGCACTATTGATTCTCATGAGAAAAGGCACCTACTTGCCCGCAGCGTAGACCTCTGCCGTATCGAAGAGGTTGATGCCATTGTCGTAAGCCAAGGTCATCAGCTGCTCTGCCATCTGAAACGAGAAAGCCAGGGCTGCTCATGGACACTGCCAGGCCCAGCTGATGAGACGGCCCCAGGCTGCTAGCAGGGTCCTGGATGGCTCCTCTGCTCCCTCCCTGCTCCCCTCACCTTCTCCCCTGCCCGCGGGCAGGGAAGGAGGCTGCCCAGCTCTGCCCAACCCAAATCCAGAGGGGACTGTCAGCCGCTCTCAGTAACTATGCAGAGGAGAACAAAGAAGACAAGATGGGTGAAGGAAGAGCCCACGGCTTGTGGATTTCTGAGAGCAGGGACCCTCTGTCTGGATCACCACGGAGCTTGATAGATACTGGTGGAATGTGTCCTGGGACGCTGCCTCCCACAGAGTCCTCCCCAGCACCCATTTGGGGACAGGATCATTGTTTCTTGCCGATGGGGAGATTGAGGCCCTGTTGCTCATAAATGGAGAGGCTGACATCTGCTCTCTGACCTTGACTGGTATTTCCCCAGCGCTGCATGCTCCCTGCCCTAAGTGACATGGTGCCACGTGGTGGCAGCTCCCAGACAGGGACTGATGAATAGCCACTGAGCCCAAGCACGATGCTGTTGACCAGATTTTGCTCCTTGTTGCTTTTGCTAGTTGTCATTGAATCGGCTCTGACTCACGGCAACCTTACATGTAACAGAATGAAATACTGCTTGGTCCTATGACATCTTCATGTCCATTGGTATGTTTGAGTCCATCACTGTGGCCCTTGTGTCAATCTATCTCATGGAGGGCTTCCTTTGTTTGCACTGACCCTATGCTTTACCAACCGTGATGTCCTTTTCTAGCAATTGGTCTTCCCTGATGATGTGTCCAAAGTAAGGAGCGGAAGTCTTGCCATCCTCGCTTCTAAGGAAATTACTGGCTGTAATATCTCTTTTAAGGTCCTCATTCCACTGTGCTCACCCTGGGAGGCCTCTTCCTCCCTCACTGAAAAGGTCATGACTCTGGAGGGTGACCACTGTGACCACGGCCCAGCCGCTCTGTGGATGAGGGAAGCCAGATGAACCTGCATAAGTCTGCCTCCTCCCCCACACCCAACCTTAGCTACTGAAGCAGATGCATGAGGCAGAGGGCTCTGCAGGCTCTGATACAGAGGCAGCGAGTCTGATCCCATTTGTACACTACTCACTCCACCTGCTGCTTAGCAAAGAGAAAAACAAATACAAGGCTAATGACACCCTGGACAGCACCTTGGACAACTGCAGACAAGAAAGAACTAGGGAATCGGAGTTTTTAGGGCTGTGCTGTACAATTTTTTTTTACTGCTGGGATTCTGGCATAATTCCTCTTCCAGGGTTTTCCGTGTGGATCGACTGCAACTCTAATGTACAAACTGTTGTATCTGTAGCGTTTACATTTGCACTCTTGTGGGTCTTTCACCACGTCATTCTTCAAAATGTGACTTCTAGAGACTGCTGCCCTGTGGGTGTATCTACTTATTAATGGAGTCTCTGCTTTGTGACTTTGAGGTTATTTCCAATGTCAGAGTCTCAGAAAACGAAGTCAGAGGGAACGCAGGAGATGAATGTGCTGCCTCCCGGTTACCCCCCGTTGGGGGACGAGGAGTCCATTCCTGCCCCAGTACAGTTCCTCCCACCTGGGAGCTGGCCGCAGGCTTGGAGGTGGAGACCCCTGGGTGAAGTTCCTCCTCCCCACTCACAGGGTGTACCCCAGTGCCTGTTAGTCAGGGAGGCTTAGTGTCCTTGAAATGGGATACAATGTCTACATCCCTGTGCTCACAGAGGACAGATGAGATGATCCATGTAAGGTTCGAGGCCATGACTCTTATCATGTGCATTGCCTGGTCTTTTCTTGAATGCATGCTCTGATGGGGCAGAGGAGTACCTTGAGTTCATAGAAAGGACACTGAGCTGGGGGAAAGAAACCTAATTCTACACATGGCAGGCCTGACGCTGGGCTGCATGGTATCAGGTTGACTGATGCTGTTTGCTCCTCTGTCGGTTTGCTATGGGAACCAGCTGAGTCATGTACATGATGGTGTCTTGTAAACCATGAGTTCTGGTTGACCCTCCCACCTCACCAGGCTGTTCATTTTACTCTGGGGCACGCCTGAGTTTTGCTTCTCGTGTGTGCGGCACAGAACAGGTCTAAGCTTTTGTCCACTTGGCAGCTACACAGCCACCGAGTTCCCAAGAATGGGGATTGGCAAGCTTTTTCTGGAAAGGGCCAGAGAGTGAATATTTTATGCTTTGTGGGCCAGAGGATCTCTGCTGCAGCTACTCAACCCTGCCATCATAGTGCAGAGCAGCTGTAGACAATATGTAAACAAGTGGGCGTGCCTGTGTACCAATAAAACTTTATGTACAAAAATAGGCTGGGGGCCGGATTTCACCGGCGGGCTTTTGCTTGACAACCCTGCCTTAGAACACCTCTTTGCCAGAGTAAACCTGCCAGTCCCTCATGTCTGAATCTCCCTGGCACCCAGGCAGGGTGTGTTGCATACAATGGTACCCTAAAAACAAGACTCTACAACCATAAAGAGAAATGATGTCCTGATGAACACACCATGAAAACATCACGCTGAGCAAAATAAGTCAGTCCCAAAAGGAAAAATACTATATGATCTGGCTTATATGAAATGAACAAATATATAGGAACCAAAGATTATTCACGATAACCAGAGGTGGGAGTGAGGGGGAAAGGGGAAATTTTTGCTTGGGGGCATTGAGTTTATGTTAATGGTGGTAGAAGGATTTGGAAAAGGATAACAATCATGGCTGCACAACAGGAAGAATGTAACCAGTGTCATTGAATTATACATGTAGAAACTGTTGAACTGGCAAATGTTTTGTTGTGTACATTTTTACCACAATAAAAACGAAACAAAACAAAAAACCTCCTAAAAACAAAACAACAACAAAAAAACCCAAGAATCTGTTTCTAGATTCCTTGGCATGCCAAGTGCCTTCCTTTGGACGGGGCTGAGCAAGGAGGAACATGGTATTCCAGATGGTGTACCCACGACCTCCAGGGTTTGGGCAGCACATGGGTCCCCTGCAGCCCCAGATAGTCCTTGCTTCCTGGAGGTCATCTCACCCATTAGTTTGGACCCGGCAGGTAGCCAATCAAACCTTAGTTATTCATCTGGAGATGGGCCCCTCACACTTGAGGTATTGATCTGTTTTGACACTGAATGGAGGATAATACTAAAATCCTGTCTTGCTCCTACGCTCCATCGTTTTCACCTGCCGGGACCTTTCAGAAGCTGACTCTGTCATCTATTGAATACGCTTGTCTTCCAGCTTTGTGTCATCTAGAAACAGCCTCCAATGCCTCCATACATGTCACCAGGGCCAGCCAGTGGTGCCACTGGATCACTCATCAATCCTCTTTGGGTGTGACTGATCTGTTGGTGAGAAATTCACTTCACTGGACACCTATCATCTGGACCACTCCTCTCTATCTCTCCCGCAAGGACATCACAGCAGCGCAGCGAACGCCTCTTGGAAATGAACTTATGCCCCCTACAGAATTCTTGCATCTGCTGCTTTAGTAACTACATCAAAAAGGAAGCCAGGTGCGTCAGGCCTGACTTGTTTGGAGGGAACCTGTAGGTGCAGGCTTGGAACAGATCTGGTGGCCCAAGGTAGAACGTTTCCCTGGGGCTGCTGATGACCTGTCACTTAAGAACTCTTGACTTTACCCAGAGATGGCACATACCCAGCAGCCTCAAAGCCAGAGGCAAGTAGTTCTGTAAGCAGCTACTTTCATAACAATAAACATGAACAAAAACACAACTGAAATGCATTTAAATTTTGATGGAAACAAAGCTCTTCCTTTGAAAACTAACAGCAATCACAGCTAACAAGGTATCGAAATCAATGCACTCATTAATTTTTAAATGCAACCTTTCCAATGGTAAGTAGGGCAAATGCACAAACAGCTGCTTATGCAGGATATCCAGGGCTCTCTAAGCAAACGCCACTGCTCTCATGTCTAAGATATTGACCCATGTTCCACAAGTGCAACTGGCCTGGGACGGCGCTGCCCCTCTCCTTCAGGGAGACTCAGGGTGCCAGCAGTGCTGAGATAGCATTGCCTGGGTGTCCACTTTTCTATCAAATTATGAAGAGACAAGCCTCAGCAAACACACTCGAGTGCAACACCCACGGTTAATGACAGTTGTGGGCTGGTCACAGCTAGGAGCCGTGCAAAATGCCAAGTCTGCTCAGTCTTTTCTAATGGCAGAAAAAAATGACAGAATCTGTATTTTAAACGACCTCCACAAATATCAGAGTCCCCGGGTGGTGCAAACAGTGAATGTGCTTGGCTGTTATCCAAAATGTTGAAGGTTTGAGTCCACCCAGAGGCACCCTGGAAGAAAGGCCTGGCACTCTACTTCAGAAAAATCAGCCATTGAAAACCCTATGGAACACAGTTCTACTCTGACACACCTGGGGTTGCCAAGAGTCAGAATCAACTTGATGGCAACTGATTTTTTTTTTAAACAAATACTTAAGGAACTGAAGTTCAAGTTCAGGTGTATGCACTCTGGGGGAGCAGCTGGTATTTGCGCTAGGCTTTAGAATTTGTAAAGCACGTGTACTCACTGAGTTTCTACTGCTAGCTGTGAAGTGGATGTCATGAAGACGAGGAATCTGTTTCTGGGACTTTCCAGGACTTGCTGAAGGTCCAAGGCACTCAGCTGGTAAGGGGAGCCAGGCTTGGCATCTTTGTTGGCCACTGCCACACACTCACCTTCCTGCTGTCCCTCGGGGGCTGGGCACCCAGGTGAAGCAGGAAAAAGGGAGCTGTGGCAGTTCCCAGGGCTTAGGCTCATTGACTCATGCAACTGACTTTACCACATGTGCGGAGGTGAGTGGCCTGCCACTGGGCTAGAGAGGCAGAGGGAGTCCTCGGTCAGACCTGGCAGCTTGCCCTCCTTGGTGCTAAGGTGGGGGCCTGTCTTACCTCGTCGGTGATCTGGCCCCCGAAGGTCACCCATGTTCCTGGAAGAGACACAGAGGCCCCAGTTAGAGAAACTCCCCTTGGGGCTGGGACTTACTACTGTGATGCAGCAGGGTCCAGGAGGGGTGACCACAGTGCCATACTGCCCTGGCTCTGAGATGTGCTCGGCCTGGCTTTGGGACAAGTCCTGCTCTGCTGGAACACAGAGCTGAGGCCCCTGTGAGCCTCTGGAGGAAGCAGCCAGGTGCAGGCCCCGGGAGGCTGTGCTGACATGGCTTCATGGGATCCGCAGCAGGGAACTATCAGGGTAGCTGGTGTCCGGCCATTTCCTGTGTCCTTGTGTGACTGGGCAGGGAGAGGTGTGTGCAGGTGGTGCTGGGTGTACGTGCAGGGGGAGGGATAGCGTGTACTGGAAGCAGAGCCTGCCTCTGGCCGTCAAGGAAGCTGACTGCCCTTGGTGAGGGACTTTTTCTATGAAGCCCACCCTGCTGCACAAGGAAAGCCCAAGAGGAGCGTGGTCCTTGGATTCTGGGGGACATAGGGGAGAGGGCAGTGTGTGCAAAGGGCCCCTGGCACTTGCTGGTCCTTGGCTGCATCTTCCATCTGCTGCTTTAGTAACCACATTGCTGAGGCTGCATCTGTCCCCCTCCCTCTCAGAGGCCTCCCTTCAACTGCCTCCTGGTTGCCATGGCAACCAAGCCACCCTGAATCCTGGGTTTTGGGTCCTGTGGCCACCCTGCCTCCTGGGGGGGGGGGCACTCCCTCCTGCCCTCCCATAGGCCCTGCTTCCTGGGTAGGTGGGGTCCCAGGGGCAGCCTCACACTCACCGAGCCCCAGGCAGGAGACCCGCAGGCCAGACTTGCCCAGATTCCTGAAAAACAGACACGTGTGAGCTCCCTAGGGTGAGGCTGACAGTCCCCATCCTAGTCCCCCTCCCAAGGCCAGCTACACCTCTCCTGACCAACAAGACCAGAAGGGGCCGTTGGGGGGAGGGTACAGTGCTGAGCTCCCCCTCCCGCCACACACACCCCAGGGCACAGTGCATTGTGGGCCTGGGCTGCCCTGGTGACCAAGGAAAGACAGTGACAACATCTGCAAATGGTGCTGTCTTGCTCTATGGCTAAAACACAGTTAATTTGGGCCCATGGTGCTGTCCATGGGCCTCCTCTCTCTAAGAAACTCTTTTCTTTCTTTTTTATTTAAAGTGTTGCGTTTGTGATTTTGCGATCTTTACTCCCAGTCTCTTTGGAAAGGGCTAGAAGGCGTGTAGCTAGCGGGCCCATCTCTCTCTGCCTCCCTGACATCGGGAGGATGAAAGCACTGCCGTGGGGTTCGGTTTGCACACAGGCTGAGGCCACGCCTGTGTTGTGATCTGCAGCCTGAGTGGGCTGAGGTCCAGAGACCCCTGTGAGCATCTGTCAGTGCCCGCAGGGCATGTCCTCATTAGCTGAGCAGCTGCCACAGAAGCCCAGGCGCTGTTACGGCTCACCAAGACCCCTGCGCCTCTCGAGGGCATGCACTCGGGTGCACCCTAGATTCCACACCAACAGGCTGTGTGGCCTGCACCCTTGACATAAATACTCTGCCAAGGATGGGTCCTTCCTGGCACAGGCTCCTCACACCCAGTTCAGGACTCATCCACCAGGCGCCTCTCAAGTGTCCCTCCATCGACTCCCCCAGTGCTCTGTGAGACGGCGCCTCCTGTCCTGACCTCATGATTCCCACTTTACAGGCGAGCTCACTGAGACCTGCTCGAGCAGTACTCCAGGGCTCTGATCTCGGCCACGGTGGGAGGCACAGGGCAGGCCTGCCCAGGGTGGCTGGCGGGATCCCTCCTGCAGCCAGGCCCAGCCGACCTACTCCACCTCACCTTGCCCTCAGGTATTCCTGCTCCAATGTCCTGGTCAAGGGGCTTGTGCTTCTGGGGCCAGCCCTGGGGTGACACCCTTCTGGGAGGTGAGGAGTCAGAGAGCAAGAGAAGCCGAAGGGGGCCACTACACTTTTCACTTTGATGGACGCTGCGTCTTTGATGTCAGTTTGTTCCCTTTTCTACCCGTGTGGCCCCCTGGGAGGGCTGCGTGGGGCTCAAACATGAGTCTGACCCGCCCCTCTCTGACCGTCCCCAGCCTTGGTTTCCCTGGTTACAAGATCCTGCCTGGATTACTGACAGTTAGGGATGGTAAATGCCCAGTTACATCAGTGTTGTTGTTTGGTGCCGTTGAGTCGATTCTGACTCATAGCAACTCCATATGACAGAGTAGTACTGCACCATAGGGTTTTCTTGGCTGTAATATTTACAGAAGCAGATTGCCAGGTCTTTCTCCCGCAGGAAGGAGCCCTGGTGCTGCAATGGTTAAGTGCTTGGCTGCCAACAGAAAGGTTGGTGGGTCGAACCCACCCAGTAGCTCCACAGGAGAAAGACTTGGCAATCTGTTTCTGTAAAGATTACAGCCTAGAAAACCCTATGGGGCAGTTCTACTCTATTACATGGGGTCGCTATGAGTGAAACAGACTCAATGGCAACTAACAACGACAGGGGTGGTGGAGGTGGGGTAGGGGGACATATAATGATATTTGTAAGCAATTTGAAAAGAGTTTAACATGCCACTCAAATTCATCTCTAAATTGTCTAGACTTCTTTATAAAATTTCCAATTAAAACCAGTCTGGCTGCTAGCCTACTGCTTCCTACAGGGATGCTGGGATTTTCCCTAAATGCAAACCTAATAGCAGCTGGTGTCTCCTTCAAGAAGGTGAACTGGATCAGTCAGTGGCTACAGGCAAGGCTCTGAAGTCAGAGCTCAAATCCTGGTTTGACCTTCCCGGCTCTACGACCTTGGGCATGTTATGTAACCTTCCAATGCCTCAGTTTTCGCATCTGTATAATGGGCTCATAAGGCTGCTTCTCTCATAGGGGTTGTTGTGAGGACCAAATGAGGGAATGTATGAAAAGCAGCCAGAGCAGTGTCTGGGGCACAGGGTCCTATGTACACTCTGACCTTGCACATGTCTCATTTCCCAAAGGGGCAGGGTACCCAAGAGACACAGCACAGAATATGGAGGGTGACGCTTTGTCTTCTGTGAAAAACAACAACAGACAAATCAAATAGGCTTTAAACATACCGTGCTGTTACAGACTGAATTATGTCCTCCAAAATTTACACTGAAGTCTTAACCCCCGGTACCTGTGAATGTGACCTTGTTTGGAAATAAGGTCTCCGAAGATGTTATCAGTTAAATTACCATGAGGTCACACTGGAGTAGTAGGGCCCTTTTAAAACAGGAGAAGAAATACAGAGAGACAGAAGGAAATGGCCACGTGACCCTGGAGTGATGCAGCAACTGTAAGCCAAGGAACGCCAGGGGCTATCAGAACCAGGAGAGGCAAAAAAGGGTCTTCCTCCAGAGCCTTGGGAGAGAGCAGGGCCCTGCTGACACCCTGAATTCAGACTTGCAGCTCCAGAACTGTGACAATAAATTTCTGTTCTTTAAAACTACCCAATTTGTGGTACTTGTTACGACAGCCACAGGAAACCCATATACGTGTCAAAAAGGGAAATGAGGTTTCCCCTAATTTTTCTCTCTGTATATCCATGAAATAATCAAATAGTGCCCTCATTATTGTTTGCATGTTGCAAGCCAGGGTAACCTGCATTTGTAACTGTTCCTGGAAAGGCACAGCTGTACCATGCATAAATTCTGCATGGACACACGGTCTATTTAGCAGTTTAGGTAAAATTTCCTATGTGAGCTAGAAAGTAACTGTGGTGAGAAATTATAAAGTTGCTTACAAGCAATCTCATAACAAAGCAAAAAGGACAGAAGGTTCTGATGAGTGGCTCTGAACTGTTTTGGGGTCGCAGGCTCCTTTGAGAAACTGATGAAAAGCATTCAAAAGACAGAAATTGAAAGGAAACTCCTCAGTATAATAAAGGGCACTTATAAAAAACCCATAGCTAACACCATACTCAATAAAGACAGACCAAGAGCTTTCTTGTTAAGATCAGGAACAAGACAAACATGCCCACTCTCGCCACTGCTATTCAACATCGTTCTGGAAGTCCAAGCCAACGCATTTAGGCTAAAAAAATAGATAAATAAATAAAAGGTCTCCAAATTGGGAAGGAGGAAGTAAAACTATCCCGTTTTACAGATGACATGATCCTATACGTAGAAAACCTTAAATATTCTACAAGAAAGCTATTAGAACTAATAAGTGAATTCATCAAAGAGCCAGGGTGCAAGGTCTACACACAGAATCAGTCAGGTTTCTATACATCAGCAATGAGCAAGTTGAAAAGGAACTTAAGGAAACTGATGAAGCCTCCAGATCCTTTCTCTAGAGATGTGTAAGGATGTACATACTTTCAGAACCGTGTTTGCAATGTCCAAGCATTCCCAGAGCCTTGAGGCCCACTGGGCAACTGGCTTAGATAAACCCAGGCACCCAGAAGGGAGGCTGAGCCATTGCCTCTGCAAACCCACTCCACGAGTGACTGGGGAGCAGCTCCCTGACCAGGCTCTGTCAGAAGCCAGGTTTTAGGTGTGTCTCCTGAAGACAAATTTGCACTGGGCAAATCTGGTGCAAAAGACCTCTTTAAAGTTTTAAAAAGCAAAGATGTCACTTTGATGACTAAGGTGTGCCTGACCCAAGCCATGGTCTTTTCAATCATCTCATATGCATGGAAAAGCTGGACAATGAAAAAGGAAGGCCGAAGAAGAATTGATACATTTGAATTGTGTTGGCAGAGAATATTGAATATATTCTTCTGACTGCCAGAAGAACAAACAAATCAGTCTTAGAAGATATATAACCAGAATGCTCCTTAGAAGCAAAGGTGGGGAGATTTCATGTTGCTTACTTTGGACAAGTCATCAGGGAAGACCAGCTGCTAGAAAAGTATATCATGGTTGGTAAAGTAGAGGGTCAGCGAAAATGAGGGAAATCCTCCATGAGATGAATTGACATAATAGCCACAACAATGAGCTCAAACATACCGACAATCATGAGGATGGCACAGGACGGGGCAATATTTCCTTCTGTTACACATAATGTCGCCATGAGTCAGAGCTGACTTGACAGCAACAATGACCTGAAGACTTCCCTTTAATGAGGCTAGAACCAAATGCCAGAACATGCTGCAAGTTCAGGGGAACAGAGGGGCTTTTGCAGTAGAGAGGCAGGTGAGGTAAAAAGACAAGAGACCGCATCCACCTATGTCTGTGGCTGGAGAGAAGCGACACCCAGTCTGGGGAGGAAGGGCAAAAAGTTGTTCTTGCTCTCTAATTCCTGTCTGTTCCCAGTTTGATTGGCATGGAATTGACCTGCTTCCTTGAACGGGTGCTGAGTCTCCTCCTGGAGCCAGGGTTGGACCCCGGGCATCTGGCTCTCCAGCTGCCACTCCACCCACCGCCCACAGGAAAAATTTAACAAAACTAGGGCACCGCGTGATGCCACAATTACCCTGCTCAAGTTGTTTCCCTGCTGGAATGATGCTATTAGTTCTGCCAGGAGCTGCCAGGCACGGGAGAAGGAATGAGAAGGGATAGGTTATCACCAGGCGGAAATCTCCTCGATGGGGGTGGGGTGCCCAACAAATCACAGCCTTGTAGGGATAGGGGCAGTGACTTGCTCCCACTGGAAACTTTCTAATCACCAAAGTAGTTTCCTACAGTCCCCCTCCTCCCCAATTAAGACTTGACATAATGATAAAATAGTTGGTCAAAATCTCTAAACCCAAATAACATTGGTCTTTATTAATTTGCCTCGTATGTCTCCAGTGGTCCAGAAAAACGCCTAATGAGGCCTCATCGACATAATCCTTGGCCAGAGAAAAGCACTGGTCTCCATCTTACAACCACCGAACACTTT